ATTAATTTATTTTTTGAACAGATAAAATAACTAATAATGTCATCGTTTTTCAATTACTGCCGAGCCTCTGGAATGCTCATACTACTTCCAGGAATTACATTGGTGTTTAATAGTATATCGTCTGATATTAATTTAAGCACCAGCAACAGTATTTTTAATATATATATATATATGTTTACTTTCTCATCAAAATAAGTAATTAAAATGTAATAATATTAAATATTCAATCTTATAAGATCGTACCTGTGAGAAACATATTTAATATTGATCATTTATGTCGTCTAAAAAGATGTGAAAATTATTGCAAAAAATATTACTATTGAGACTTCAGTAGTTTAAAGGCTTAGGACGTTCGTAATTATCAGCCGAGGTAATATTTTTCGCAATAAAAATTAATTATTTACAGACTTTAATATGTCGCTCAACATTATTTAAGATTATAAAAAAAGAGCATCAAAAATTGTTAGACAATTTAACTCGTAATATTACTGTTGTAATTTAGTAGAGTTGTGTTTAAATACCGAAAAATTATTCGGCTCGCAATTTAAAGACTACATACATAGTATAAAAATTTATACGGGATTAAGATCCAGTCATATATACAATAGACCGTTAAAAACATTTTTGTATCAGTTAAAATTTAATATTTTCAGTATTAAATTTTTATAAAGAAATAATAATAATATTGATTATGTGTATATTTCATAAACATGTACATAATCATTACATATATTTATGAAAGTATCACAAATAAGTATATTTATATCTAAATGCAGAGATACATAAAGATTACACTTTAAGGTTTGTATTTTCTATAAAACCATTTGTACTTTCTGATTCTTAAAGGTATAATAAATCTAAAAAGAAACTAAAAACAAATAATTATTTAAGATTGAACGGCTTTCTTATTTCAAAACGGCTTATTATATATATATATAGGTAAAATAAATTTATTTTAACATTATATATAGAATTTAATTAACATTATATATAGATTCTTTAAAGCTGCTTTTCTTTTAGGAGACACAAATCGACACAGTATAACACACTCGAACACAGTTTGCCACACTTAAATGGAACGCGATATGTGCAGTGTGTGTATCGTGTGTACGAACTTTTAATACTTAACCATAAAAGATTTGAATTTTGATCTTAATGGATGCATAAGATTCGATTATTGCAAGGAGTGCGTTCTAATATCACTTAATTGTCTTAATTCATCAAAATCACACTTGAATAGACTCGAAACACTCTGACTCTCCTCCCGAGCAGAGGCGAAGGCTGCTTTCCTTTTAAGAGACACAAATCGACACAGTATAACACACTCGAACACAGTTTGTCACACTTAAATGGAACTCGATATGTGCAGTGTGTGTATCGTGTGTACGAACTTTTAATACCTAACCATAAAAGATTTGAATTTTGATCTTAATGGACGCATAAGATTCGGTTATTGCAAGGAGTGCGTTCTAATATCACTTAATTGTCTTAATTCATCAAAATCACACTTGAATAGACTCGAAACACTCTGACTCTCCTACCGAGCAAAGGCGAAGGCTGCTTTCCTTTTAAGAGACACAAATCGACACAGTATAACACACTCGAACACAGTTTGCCACACTTAAATGGAACTCGATATGTGCAGTGTGTGTATCGTGTGTACGAACTTTTAATACCTAACCATAAAAGATTTGAATTTTGATCTTAATGGACGCATAAGATTCGGTTATTGCAAGGAGTGCGTTCTAATATCACTTAATTGTCTTAATTCATCAAAATCACACTTGAATAGACTCGAAACACACTCTGACTCTCCTCCCGAGCAGAGGCGAAGTGTGTCGATTGAGTTTGAACAAAATTGTAAATGGAAAGCGACGTGTCGATTTGTGTCAAGTGTGTCGACTGTGTCTCCTAAAAGGAAAGCAGCCGAAGTGTGTCGATTGAGTTTGAACAAAATTGTAAATGGAAAGCGACGTGTGTCGATTTGTGTCAAGTGTATCGACTGTATCTCCTAAAAGGAAAGCAACCTAAATAAAAGCATGGAAAAAACGCTACTGTTGTCACAATCGAAAATGATAATTTTCGATCATCAGACATCAATACATTTGGTTGTGACAACTGTAAGATGAATATATCTTAACCGTAATATATAACATATCTAAACTATAATAGAGAAGAATATAATCTCTTATGGAAAAAATGGTTACGGTTATCACAATCACAAATAATGATGATTTTCGATCGTTAATACATTTGGTTGTGACAACCGTAGCCATTTTTTCCATAAGAGATTATATTCTTCTCTATTAGAGTAAAACTTATAGATAATTCAATTCGACGCACTCAATACGCACTAGTTTTCATTTCATAGTTAAGGGTCGACAGGAGCGACAGAAATATTTTTGTTATGCCTTTTTACAAAAAAATATCTCTATACGAGCCTTCAGGAGCCTTTTCTGATTACGAATGTCACAATCAAAACACGATTCATGTTATATTTTAGCCATAATTTGGGAATAAAGGTAACATTTATGAGTGCAGATCAGTGCAGATCTAGATCAGTTATGCTCATTTTTCTTCTCAAAGAAATAAAATTTTCTTATGAAACCTGTTGAGATTTCATTGTTATATTGCTGGGAAGACTCGTACAGAGTCAGATTTGCAAATTAATTCTTGAAAATTTTTATTAAAATAAGATCATGTATACATCTCTCAACTGCACCATAGTACACATTGAGTGAGGTAACAGAACAAATTTTTATTATACCTTTTTTACAAAAAAAAATAGCTCTGTACGAGCCTTCAGGAGCCTTTCCTAATTACGAATATCGCAATTAAAACGTGATCCATCCAGTATTTTAACCATAATTTGGGAATAAAAAATTTATCTTCGTCTATAGAGGTCTCTGGGTCACTCCTGTCGACCTTTAAATTGTGAAATATTTGACATACTAAAAGTCAAATTTTTTATCGAACAATCTTGTAAATAATCAATAAGTGTTGTATAAAGCTGGTTCTACATTAGTTGCAAGTCGATCGCAAGTTCGTTGCGACAGCCAATCTCAAGCTTGCATTTTGAAATCAACTCTTCAGATTGGCTGTCGCAACGAACTTGCGATCGACTTGCAACTAATGTAGAATCAGTTTAATAGATATTCTAACTATGTAATTTTATCACATTAATTATATAATTATTAAGGCCCGAATAGCCATATACGTATATAGAATCATGACGTTACAAGCGAGAAATGACACATTGAAATTTTCTACATGCTATTCGTAATTAAAGAGAATCTATACAAAACAAAATAATGAGATCGCTTTAAACATTTGTAATAATGGGACAAAGCTATCCTTACTCTCCCCCATCTTGGCAGTCAGTAAATAACATTAAAAAGAACGTAAAGTGAAAATAATAAGCTACTCATGCACACTTAAGTAAATTTTGGTAACCGCATTTACGTTTCTTATACGATTATTTAATAACAGTTAGGGAGGGAGTGAGGGAGGGAGGGAGGGGGAGAGAGAGAGAGAAGAGAGAGAGAGAGAGAGAGAGAGAGAGAGAGAGAGAGAGAATAAAGATAGCTTCTTTATGTGTTTTAAAGCAATCTCATTATTTTGTTTAATCTAGAGTCCTAGATATCAGAGAAGCGCAACCGGCTTAAGTCAGTATCGCAAAATTACGAAGAAAAGTATTAAAAATGGCGTCATTTGCAGACAAAATATGAAATCCACCAATCGTCTATTAGTCAGCCATTTTTAATACCACTGAATGAATGTCATGATTGGCTGACAGTCAGCTAATCAAGACGCGGAACATCGGTTGCGCTTCTCTGATATCTAGGACTCTAGTTTAATCCACATCATCTATTTATAAATGGCTTGGAAGAAACTTTAATGTATCAAAACAATATGAAATAAAACTGATGACAATAACGGCCGCAGCACAGACTTTTGCATAACACATAATGCATAGTGCATAAGACAGTCAGCCAATTAACATGTTTCTCTTCCGTGAAGTTGAAGAAAAGGAAGGATTCTGATTAGTTGATTCGCTTATGCACTATGCGTTATGCAAAAGTCTGTGCTGCGGTCATAAATGTAATTATGTAAAGGAAAATAACAAAATCGCTCGAAATGGATACAATTAGCGCTCAAATTATTCGCAGTTTTTAGGATTTCATTAACATCGTTCATAATTCTTATAAAATATATATGCTTATTAGCATTAAATATTTATTAAATTGCTTGTACTATAAGGGTGCCGTCACATACAGCCCGCAATCCGTAATCCGCACCGAATGTCCGCAAAAGTAGTAGGGATTGCGTCCGTAACGTTACGTATATTTTATCTCCTTATGTCCCATGGAGCCGTAATTCCGTAAAAGTTACCAGTTTTTACTAGTAATGCTTTTTCTAATTTTATCTATTTGACGAAATTTGACGGTTTAAGTAAAGTTTTTGTTGTAATCAAGATATATTCTGCAGTTTTCTTATGAAATAAGTTAAAAATAATCAATATAACTTGTTAAATAAAAAAATAATGTAAAGCATTACTAGTAAAAACTGGTAACTTTTACGGAATTACGGCTCTATGGGACATAAGGAGATAAAATACACGTAACGTTACGAACGCAATGCCTAGCAACTTTTGCGGATATCCGGTGCGGATTACGGATTGCGGGCTGTATGTGACGGCACCCTAAGTTTAATTTGACATTACTGTTCTGATTTTGTTCACGAGTTTTTCAAAATAAAAAAAGATTTCGGCACACAGTTAAGCAGAATCAGATACGTATATAAATTCACAAAATATATTGATTGAGCACTAAGATCTACTTCTACCGATATAGGAATATCTCTTAATTCGATTTAATGTATCATTCCTTGCTTGTAACGTCATGATCCAATATAAACGCAAATATTACTTTAGAAGCCTTAAAAAATGTTATTGTTTTAAAAATTTTAGATATACTTTAACATAATTTAACATATCTCACTTTCGTTAATGGGCTTTTTGCGTAAAGCTCTTTGTTGGTTATTAAGCCAACTTTTTATTTGCGGCGATGTACGTTTTGCAAGAACTTTATATTTTTTCTTTACATCTCCTATTTCTTTTAAAGATGGCAATGTAAAGCTTTCCATATATGTATTAAATGCATGAAGTGCTGTATCTTTTTCTTTTTGAGACCAGCGTATTCTTTTTGTCTTCCCATAAGGAGATGCTAGTAAAAGGAAAACAAAATGTTATTAAATTAATGTTTATAAAATATACATAAAAATAGCAAATCACTGATATGTCGGGTTTTTCCCTAAAAAGTTGTTGAAGCTATTCAGTTATCATTTTTAGTTTATTATAAATAGGAAACACAAGAGAATAACTTAAAAGGATTACAACCAAATGTTCCTCTCCGATTTTGGTATGCTTTCTCTGGACAAAAATAAGTCATTTTTTTATATCAGCTAAATGCACGTTAAAAGAATGAAAACCTTTCTTTAAAAAATTAGTTTTTTTTCTTTTAGACTGAATATCGTCGAATTTATGAAAAATAAAAAAAATGTTCCAGTATTAAAATTGAATGGCTTCAATAATACTTTCGAATATAATAACAAATTTTTTATTTAATTATATAAATAAAAACTATTAATTAAATTATTATTTAACAATATTAAATATATTAAACCTTAATTATTTATTTATAAAAATTTTTTTATCACAGTTCTAAAGTACTGTTGAAACTAATTAATTTTTATTCTGAAAAATTTTTTCTATCTCTTATAGTTTCAATGGTATTCACTTTGAAAGAAAGAAAAACGATTTTTTAGGGAGGTTTTCATCTTTTTAACGTTTCATTTTCATTGCTTCAGCTTATATAAAAATATACGTATTTATTTTTGTCCACAGAATATATCATCAAAATTGAAGGACAGCTGTTGGTTGTTCCTCTCCTTGATAAAAAACATTTATCAATTTTATTTACACAAACACTACACAACAATTGTAGATATTATTTAATAAATGTTTATAATAGTGACAAGTATTGCCTATCTTAATAACATTTTCAAAGCGTGCATCCAAATTTAAACAAAATCGAATTATATTTAAAAACTAAAAAGTATCTTTACCTAAATCTCACGAGATGTCTGTCAATTCTGTGCACAGTTCGGAAATATTAAGATTGGCATACTTGGTATTTTTTATAAAATATATTATTTAATAAATAATAAAAATATTATTTTTATTATTATATACTCTTATTATCTTCAGTTATATTCAAATTAAGTTACTAAATGTACTTCGTTAATGACATATTTTATTTATTCTACTTTTTAGATACATTTAAAAATGACATCTGATTAGTTTTAGCAATTTCCTATGGAAAACCCTTTATGAATCAGATAAAAGAGATAAAAAGTCTTTAAATGTTATATTACAAATTAAAAAATTTGTAATATAACATTTAAAGACTCTTTATCTCTTTTATCTGATTCATAAAAATTAAAAAATTTGTAATATAGAATTTAAAGTTCCAAACAATACGGGAGAGGGACCGGGCAAATGGTAAGGTTGTAACTCTGCCAAAAATTAATTTTATGCCAACTTCCAAATTGGCTTCTGTCGAGGGAATATTTTCCTATGTTTTCCACCGGACGGTGTGAATTTTGTGTGCCATTTAATGAAGATACAGAAGGCAAGGCAAAAGTCTCGTTTTTCACTTACTAGACCGTTTGCGTTTTTCGTTACTACTATTTCCTTGATTATTATTCGCGTCATCATTTAATTCATTATGTAAATTTGTAACTGAAAGAATTGGTTATTTTTAAAAAATATTGTAGATTTACATGCAAATAAATTAGAAATATAGAAATAAGATATAATTACTTGAACATGTACTTTCGTTCGAGTTTACTTTGTCACAGCTGTTCTCATCTACTTCATTTTCTGAACAGTTACTACTGTCCGAATCATCATTTCCTTGAACCATTTCTAAGTATCGTGAGACTTTTACTACGTCCGTGGTTGCCACAGGTTGTCTATAATAATCCTTATGTATCTTGTCACTATGGCCCATGAATTTGGCAAGATCTGATATATCAATATCATTAAGATTTAACTGAATACAATATGTTGCCACATGTTTTCGCAACACTGTTCCACGTAAAGTACACGATTGAATTGCATTACATTCTTCAGAAAATTTCCGCAACAAAATACAAGCTCTTAGATATTTAAATCTTTCTTTGTTATAACCAGGCAATGCAAATACATAGGGATTTTTGGTGGGTATTTTAGCTTCTTTCCGAAATTTTAAAATCAAATTAATACTATTGAATAAATCACTTGATAATAAAACGGGAACTGTGCGTCCCAATTTTCCTCTTATACAAAATCGAATATATTTTTCAGCGATTTTTCTGTCTTTCTCTGATAATGATGAATAAACATCATTGTTCATATCTTTATGTATTCTTTCATAATTTTGGAAATCTGCAATAAGGATTCTCTCCATTTCTCCTTGACGTCGTCTATTAAACACTAGTATAGAAACTAATGTAGCTTCTGCTAAAGAAAGCCAATCGTAATAAGAAAAGGATTGTTGTAATGCCATATAAGCTTTAGTTCGCTTTTCCTCCAAGTACTTATATAATTTTTTTATATCTTCCAATGATGGAAGATTAACTTTTTTATGTCTCTTTTGAGCAGATTGTGTTTCCATCACAGTTCTGTTTACACTTGTCGAAATATCTACAACTAATAATTTTAAAAAGTCTTTAGCCAGATTTTTTTTCTCTGTATCTTCCTTCTTTATACACTCTCCAATAAATAAATTTCCAATATATTTAATTAAAGTAGATAAGGTGGATGCTACTGAGGGTGCGCCATATATTCGTTCTTCACTATTATATCTTGCAACTATATTAATTGCATGGATACAATCATCGTATAGTTTTGGACGATAGATTGAATCAAAATTCTCTACATTTTTATTTATGTCTTTTAGTGCCAAGAGAAAGCGACCAAGGAGACGTAACCTGGCACGTATCATATCGTGATGATGTTGCGATCTGTACTTCTCGTACATTTGATTTGCATATGTTATCAGTATTTCATCATATCTTATAATGCGTGTAACATCGTCTTCCCGCATTACTGGAAATATCATTTTTTTCACAGTTTCATTTACTTTAGGATGAAGCCTACACGTAATTCTTCTACCCATTACCATAATACATTTATTCTTTTTAAAATTCTTTTTAAAGCATTTTCGAGAATGATGGCGTATTGAATGTTTTGTAAAATATCCTTTGCATTTTGAACAAGCGGTAAAATCAGTAGCAAGCTTGTTATATTTATCATTTGGCCGTCTAGATACAATAAGTTGTCCGTTATTCAGTTTCGAGTTTGTGTTAAATTTAAAATTTCCATTTTTTCGTAAAGATGATATAATTTGTTTTCTTTCTGGATTTGTCTTGGGTAAAGCAGTAAATTTCTTTACATCCGGTTCATTGCGATGTACTGTTCTTAGATGTCGTGCAAATTGTGTTTGCAACTTCGAACAAAAAATACAATAGTACTGTTTATAAGATTTTGCATTGGACTTTTCTACATACATTAGTTCATCGTTGCATATAGATGCATCACCATTAATTTTTGAGGCATCAAAACTTGATGCTGATGATACAGATTTGCTTAAATTTAGTATCTGTTTTTGTGACAATTTATTATCAAATGATTGCGGCAATTCATTATCTGAATCTTCATTTCCTGAATCTTCCTTTTCTGATGGTACATATTCTGATCCACTATCTTTATCATATTCGTCATCTAAAAATAGAATATGTCAGTAATCAAAAATAGATTAAAATGAATTAAACCTTTATGCGCATTTTAAATCCAAGTGAATCTAATTGAAAAATAAATCCTTTTAAAACCGAATGCATTTTTATTCATTTATCCGAATTACATATAAAGCACATTTCAGTGCCTTCCAATCTAAAAGTAATATCAACTTTTTTGTGGATTGTAAATACTGTTAAATTTGAAATTTTGAATAGGAAATGCAGTTTTTGTTTTCAATCCAACTAAATTCAGTTTGTATCTAATTGAATAAACAATTTTTTTTTATTTAATTAGGTTCAATTAGATCCAACTAATGAATTCAATTGAATTGAAAAAAAAAACTGCATTTCCTATTCAGAATTTCGAATTGAGCAGTATTTACAATTTACAAAAAAAACTGATATTACTTTTAGATTGGAAGGCACTGAAATATGCTTTCTGCAATTCGGATAAATAAATAAAAATGCATTCGGATTTAAAAGGATTTATTTTTACGTTTGCGAATGTGTGTTTCTAAAAATGTGAATCCATTCCAATTCATTTCAATCCATTTAAGCCGTAATCACACTACGGGTTGCGCGCTCTGTTGCGATTGAGATTACGGTTGAATGTTGGAAACTAACCAATCAGAGCAGTTCCTGCTCTGATTGGTTAGTTTCCAATATTCAAACGTAATCTCAATCGCAACAGAGTGCGCAACCCGTAGTGTGATTACGGCTTTACGTTTATTGCAATAATCAGGTAAGTATTTGTTTTAAGTTTTCTGGTCCTCTACCATAATCATTTGTATTGATATTAAGAGAGGCAACTAGTTTTTACAAAACATGTGCATAAAAATAAAAATGCATTGTACAGAGGATGTCCCATTTTAATCAATCTCTAGAAATAATATATAATATGTTGTAAGCCTTTTATTTATTTTTGCTTTATAAGCAAAATAATATATTACAAAAATCATTACATAAAAAATTTATATCCTTTTTCTTAAAAAATAGCAATGACCTTCATCAGGGTTGCCACAAATTTTTCATCCTAAAATTTCCTGACATTTTCCTGATTTTACTGACAAAATTTTGTAATTTTCCCTGACTTTCAATAATAAATATTTTGAAATATTTTTTGTATTTTCATCCTGATTTGAAAATTGTTAAATATTTTGTTGATCGAGTAATTTAACATAACAGTGTAATTAAATTAATGTTATAATATAATACTATTAATATTATTAATAAATAATACTATTAATGTTGCTGATACTACATTTTATCGTTAAGTTAATAGTACTTTTTGTCTTTTCCTTTCATGTATGAACATGATTCTTTTCCTCTTCCTCTCTTTCTTTTTGCTACTACACTTAAAATATAAGAAACATAAATCAATGAATACAGTTTTTTTTTTTATCAAAATTATGATCTGTTTATTAAAATCTCAATCTGCTTATAAAAGTTAACATATTTGAAAGAAAAATCATAAAATTATAGAATAATATTTATTTTACTCACTTGTTCATAAGTGACATAGAACTTTCTTATATAAAACAAAAGAACAGACAACTTTAAAATTTCGATGTTTTTAGTAAAGCATTTTAAATCTTTACAAGTTTATGTTAGCTTTTTAACATAACTAAAATTTCAAATCCTTAAAGAAAACTTAAATACTGCAACATAAAAAATTGTACAAGTTTTTTAATCGAATGTTAATAACATCAGTGATGTTATTTCTTCATCAAGAGCACTTAGTTCATTAGTTTTTTCTGCCAAAAGTTTTGCCTTCTTAGTCTTCAATTTTGAAATTTTTGTAAACAAAGATTTTTTTTTAGCAACCGAGTTGGCTTGAAGAACAAAGCGAAATGATTTTATCGATTGTGGGGTCGTGATATAAATAAATTTCTTTACAGCTATGTTATTTTTCCCGAAAAGTGCGCTGAAATCCCTGACTTTCCCTGATTTACTGACGCATTTTTCAAATGCCCTGACATTTCCCTGATTTCCCTGATTTGTGGCAACCCTGTTCATAATATAACCATTAAAACTGATTCTTTTAAAAAATTAATTTTATTGTTCACAATTTTGTCTGAAATATTTTTCTGTAGAACTAAAAACAGTTTTTGGAGATAATCAATTAAAATGAAGCTTTCTGTATTTATAAAATAATGTTTGCAATCGATTATACATATGTATAAAGTACAGAGGAAAAAGATATAGTTCACATGCATAACTAGAAGTATTTAGTTGTGAGCAATATAGTTACATCATCCTAGTTATCTTTGTATGATAGGAATGTGTACAGCTGATACAATTTATTTACTTTATTCATTTCTCTTAATGTAATTACGCTTGATGTAGTTGTGATAACTTGGTTAAGGGATCATTTACTATGGATAAGTTATCTATCCGTATAGTTACGTCAATCATAATTCTACAAAGTATGATGTATAATAAAAATTAAATTAGATAAACAACAAACATGAAGAAGTAAACCAATAACGGTCAAAAGCTGGATCATAAATGCTTATTAAAATTATGTGTGAATTTTATATACCGCGTATGTAGTTCCCCCAATCGCGTGCCGAAATTTTTTTTTCAGACTTACAACGCAACACTAAACAACTACAGCAGTAATATCACTTTTTTAATTAAATTGCCAAGGCAAATCTAACAATTATTTGATGCTTATATAGCATCTTATTAGATCTTTAATATGTTGAAAGATATATATTAAAATTTAACGATGTAAACGTTAAAGTAATGATGAATCTAAAATCTGTGAAAAATAAGATTGCGAAGAATATCACGAGTTGGTGTTTCGTCCCGGTTTCCACTACTGGACTCATTAGTAAGGCATTGTAATGGAAACCTACCTTAGACGCCTGTGTAAGTTATAATTCGAGATTCTATATAAAGCGATATACGCGTATCTCAGCACTTGCGAGAAATTTTTATGAACATCTATAGACCTCTGATGGCGGGTCGACGTAGTAATATTCTTCGCAATATTTATCTAAAGTAGGAGAATAAGTGTTGCGTTGTAAGTCTGGAAAAAAAATTTCGGCACGCGAATGGGGGAACTACATACGCGGTATATAAAATTCACACATAATTTTAATAAGCATTTATGATCCAGCTTTTGACCGTTAGTGGCTTTGACCGTTATTGGTTTACTTCTTCATGTTTGTTGTTAATCAATTGTACGGTAGTAAAAATGATTCTATTATTTATTAAATTAGATATTAATAAAAATTAATTTCTTGTTACATCATGCTGTAAATTAAGTTACAATTTCGAAAAGCAAAAGCGAACCACGCTTACAATTAAAAACATAAGTTGATACAATCATTGTACTGTGGTTCAAGCAACCACATAAATAGTTTGTTCCATATTTTATTGTTTAATCTGGTTGGCATCACTAGATTTCTGTGTAGATTAATCAGATTGTTTTCTCCATGTGTTTAAAATTTTTATGTTTTAACACTAGCAATTGGGACCACAAAATTTAAAGTGATAAAATTACGCAAATAAAAAGTAATTCATACCTCCGGAAAACTTTTTTGCTTAATAAAATTTTTCTTTGCTTAAAGAATATTTCTATATATCTAAGTCCGTATTCAGAACGCGCTTACAACGATGTTAGCGCTCCAACATGCTATAGTTTACGTTACGCATACTATAGAATTTCAAAGATACTAGCGCGCTTTTATCAATAAAAACGCGTTTTGAATACGGACTATAATGAGTAACTGCAAAATTACGACACTATGGACTTAAGTTGTTAACTATAATCATGTTATTTTAATTTTATGACCATTATTAATTATTAGAGCAAAAAAAAGTTTTTGGAGTATTATATAAATCTGCTCAATCGAACGCAAATATTATTTTATAAAAGATATATTTTTATTTCAACATATTTTGTAATTTCAAAGTACCTTCTAATATGTTGTCTCTTTTCTCACGTTAGCTAAAATGTAACAAAAGACCAAGAAACATAAAAGTTATAAAAATAATAAATATTACTTAATTTACATACCAGTAGCATCATAAGACAATGTTTTAGTACATTTATCCAAATTATACAAAGAAATAGGTTTATTAAGTAAATCTGCAAAAATAGAAATTAAAATAAACAAACCCATGTAACGGTGCAATAAATGAAAAATGATACTCCTATGCTTTACCTATTACTTATTTAACATATATAAAAGATTAATCCTTCTGGTACCACTTTCAATATGGCATATTCAACTTTCTTTTATTTTTTTTACATTCATGCTATAACTTTTTATTAATAAAGATACATACATATATGTTTGTTATCTTCTTTAATGTCGGAAGGTTTTTAAAAAAAATATTGTTATAATAATATATCCTTTTTATATGAGAATTATTTTTATACAGTACATAAAAAAAATGTATAATGTGGCATTAAAAAGTCAAATATCGGAAAGTTTTACATTTTATTGTAATATAACAAGTGTTACGTACCAGTTACTGTGATATCCGTGTCAGTACTATTAATTTTCGGAAAATTACTTTCAACATTTTCATTGTGTGAATGTTCATCTACAGGTTCTATGAAAACAAATTATAATTATTTTAATAAAATAATTGAAAAAATATATAAAATTAGACTCCTTATAATTAAATAATAATAATTTAGGCGACCGTTTAGGAGTCAACGCAAAAAGATAAGCGCAACAAATAAATTCTAAAGTATAATTTACTATAATTTAGAAGTACAAATGTACATATTTGGACGTTTCGGCCATTGGTTTTGGCCATCTTCAGCAAAAGTGTACAGTATAATTTTCTAGCTACGTTCGTTGTGTAATTTATACGGTAAGCAAAATCATTCTCTTTTATAGTTAATTAGCTTCCTAGTGAAATGACTCTGTTTTTCCAAAAATCAGTGGATTACAATGAATAGGATAAAATTTATTTCTCATTTCGGTGTAACAAATAATTGATTTTCACAGAATCGTTGAATAT